GAGAGAGTGAAATACCAGCATGCGTCACGTGGTCGGTACAGACGTGCGTGTGTTTTTTGGGCCTGATCTCTCGAACTGTGCGGGACTACTTTGCCGCCAAAATTTGTGTCTTCAAGGCCTAAATTGAACTTTTCAAGCTTAAAAAGACATTTTGAAGGGGGCATCCTACTGCCCACTCAAGGAACCTGGGTCTTTGAACTGGGGCCCTCAAACCTGGCCTGGGAGCCCCTGGAGAGGTCAAAGGATTCATGTGGGTTGTATATGATCTTGGCTTGTATCTATAAGGGGTCCTGAAAGACAGAAACAAAGCACGGCCATTGGAGGAGACACAGTGGAGGGACCTGGTTGCATTCTTGGGCCTGCTGACCTAAAAATATGGGGATGAGCAGGAGCAGAGTCCCATTGGCTTAAAGCACTCCAATGCTATGCTGTATGACAAGCCTGGGTCGAGCAAGAGGGGGAGACACGGATGCAGGAAAGCCTCTATGAGGCCGAGGATTCTGAGTAAGACAGCCCTCAAAGTCGGCCATGTTGTTTGGTTTGGACAGAGGGACACCAGGGTCCATCAGAAAAAAAAGATTATTTAAATTGTACAAGGGCCCCCCCCCACTTTGTTGTTGTGTCCCACCCAGTAAGCGCCTCTGATGTCTGAAAACGGCTCTGTTTTGGGCCATTTTTTGGCCTTCCCATTCATTTCCTATGGGACGGCGTTTCGCCTTTTTCTCTGTTTATTTGAAAACACCAGGACTAATGAGAGAGAGAAATACCAGCATTCATTGTGTGGTTGGTTTTGACACGAGTGTCTTTTTTGGGCCTGATCCGTCGAACCATACGGGACCAGTTAGGCGCCAACATTTGTGAAGGAAATGGCAGAAACATAAGTCGAGGAATAAATATGCACAATAGTAATAAGCAGTTACAGTACTATTACTGATGATACGGACTCGCTGCTCAGAGGGTGGGAACCTGGCTCTGTTATTGGGCTGAGGAGTTACTGCCTCTGCAAAGCAGGCTGCCAGCAGGGGGAGCAGGCTAATAGCAGACTGATAACAGGCTGATAACAGGCTGATAACAGGCTGATAGCAGGCTGATAGCAGGCTGATAGCAGGCTGATAGCAGGCTGATAACAGGCTGATAGCAGGCTGCCAGCAGGGGGAGCAAGCTGTCAGCAGAGGAACAGGCTGCCAGCAGGGGGAGCAGGCTGATAGCAGGCTGATAGCAGGCTGATAACAGGCTGATAACAGGCTGATAGCAGGCTGATAACAGGCTGATAACAGGGGGAGCAGGCTGATAGCAGGCTTTTTCGCTGTTTATTAAAATACACCAGGACTCAGGAGAGAGGGAAATACCAGCATGCGTCCCGTGGTCACGTCTATTTTTTGGGCCCGATCCGTCAGACCATGCGAGACCAGCAGCACAGTGTTAGTCCCTCACAGAAGTCGAAGTTTACACCCTAAATTAAATAAGCTTGACTTAGTTCTGGGTGGTGAGGGGATGCAGGACCAGCTGAGCTGCTGGTT